TCGTTGCTCGATCCAACCAATTTGAAATCTTTCCATTGATTTCGTAATATTTTTCATTGGATAAATTCCAAAGAACATTTTCGGGTGATTCACTCCATATGAGAATGGAATGAAGAAGTGAATTTTGAATTTTTTCGCAGATAAAATAATTTTAAATACAAGGGTCAAAGTCATCAGCCATTAATTTAATCAAATCAGAACGTGTTGAATCAACACTGTTGATTAGTGATGATGAAAAATTTGGTTATTTGTGTTCGAGCACAACATGTTCTAAGCAAATGAATACTTGGAAAGATAATAGTAACATTTTGCCAACTTCACATTACCGAATACACAGCGAAAGAGGATAAATAACACTGTGCGAGTGTGCTAGTGTTCACATTGGGATGTTTATTAGTATGGCTAACAAAAGTATTTTTTGAATATTTAATTCGATCTCTTCGCCGCGCATTCCGGTAATACATACATTCTGCTGGGTGCAGACGGTTGCTGCAAGAGTAATATACCACGGGTGGACCTTGAGGCACCGATTCTAATCTGCTGAAAAATACATTGCAACTCATAGGATATTACTATCAGTGTCGCTAGTGGTATATGCTCTTGCAGCAACGGTGTGGATGGATGTTCCATCCCCTAATTCGATGTACTTGTATTGTTAAGAATCGAATATTAGAACTTGACCGCAAAGCTTCACTTGAAGATTATGACAGTCTTTTGTTGAATTTACCACCCTTATTTCCCACCCTTATTTCCCACCCTTAATAGTCAGTTTACACACAGCATATGCATGCGTCATTTCACATTTGATCAACAATAACCAAGTTTTCTTCATTCAAAGGCGTATTTCTTCAAGTACAACCTCAGCATTCGAGTATAAAAATTCAAAATGAAATTACCAACCATTGGACATTGCTGTTGCTGTGTTGACTTGATAACTGGTGGTAAAATCATCGGTTGGCTGGGAATCGTGATTGGTGTCCTTTCAATCATTGGCGGTTTTAAACGCCCCGAATTGTTTTTGAACGCTGGTAAGTTCATCGTTTCTTTGGAGTATATTCCAATCAAAGTTTCAATTCAGTCAATTATTTTTTTTCTAGCCGCTAGTATAGCACTTAGTGCTTGTTGGCTCTATGGAATCGAAAAAGTAAGCATTTTTTCTGAACCATAGCGACAATGAAATGTTCATTTCTGTTGATGAAATCGACATTTTCAAGGCATCTGTTTAATTTTTTGTAAACTATTTTTTTCTACCAGTCTCGACCAAGCTACCTGCTCCTGCATGTGGTACTATCAACGATTGGTATTGTGATTTTTTACATTTCTGATGTCATATGTTTGCTTGTTGCTGTTTATATAGCAACATCTTCTGAAAAGCCCAAAGGATTCAACAACTTCCCACTAGATATCATTGTATTCATTGTATTCATTGTCATCCTCATGACGAGTAGGTTATTTTCGCATATCATCAATCCTTTATTATTATAACTCGCTGTATGTAATTATGAACGATATCCAAAATCTTTTTCAATTTTCAGTGCTAGGTACGTACTTTTGGGTTGTCACCAACTCTGTGTACGCGGCAGTGAAAGAACGTTCTGAAGGATTGCCAAACGTACGCAACGGCGTCTCCCAAAGTGACTCCCATGATGCCTCTAAAGTTCCAACTTAATTTTTAGTCCACTACTGACCGATAACATCATCCAAATCAATCAATGTCTTTACAAATGTCATGTTCATCGGTGAAACGGACAAGGAAATATGTTGAATCTTTCAAAATCATTGCAACATATATTGTATGTTACTAACACGGCTTCCAAAAATGCAACGTTGCAAGCAGAATTCGCCAAATAGTCTATTATCAATCAAAATTGTTCAACACTTTTTTATAAAAATAAAACATATTGTACTTTTTAAATCCACGAAAAAGTTTGAGTAATGCAAAAAAAAAACTCAATAAACATTAACCATTGGATACATTGGAAATGGTTATTGACATATCCTTCTTTTTTTTATTTTCAAATGCAGTTTGATTTGAATTTCTTTATTGCTTCGTGCTTCGTATTGATTTAGTCACATATTATTACAGTACGCCCCCGCAAATTAGAAACCCGAGAATTAGAAAACCTCAGAAATTAGAAATGAAATTCAGGTTTGAAAATTTGTTTGGAAAATTTCTAATTTCCGGGGTTCATTTCTAATTTACGGGGTTTCCGAATCATTTCATTCAAGACAAAGGGAAATTTACTTTATTTTTAATGAAAAAACGTAATTGAAGTCTTTTCCATTTCGTTGAATAACTATATTAGCAGATCAGCTTGAGATTTTCGACGTTTACCATGAAGTTAAAAATTAAGTCAAGAAGTAATCTGTTCCATATTGTCTGCGTCAATCATCAATCATCAATCATCAATCATTAACAAATCGAAACCGATTTGTTCCATAAGAGAATTTGCATATACAAAATTGTATATAGAATGCTAACGTTTTGATATAATAAGAACAGCCGGTCATCATTTATTTCGGTTCGTTCCGAGGAGTAGTTTATCCAGTAAAATAAACTAACAGACTTACTATATATTTATAATCACTAAAATAACTGCTTATAAGCATGTATTTACAATACTTGATTGAACAGTGTTCAATATATTGTTTTCAATCAAGCAAATCATTCCCCCTATCAGTTTTTCATTTGATACACCGTTTTTGGATGAAATTGAAAAAAACCTCAGAAATAAGAAAACTCCGCAAATTGGAAATGGTCTCGGGACATTTCATTTCTAATTTGCGGGGGCGTACTGAATTTTGGATTCTTTCCACCATCTGTTAGCAATTTTCACAATTGCAGAACATTCTCATCGAAACACGAAGCATACAAACTCTTTTTCTTTCTTTTAAATTCGTTTCCGGAAGTTTTATTCTAAAATTGAATGAATCAATTGTTTGTTTCTGTAATTTTAGATTTTTTGAAAACTTTCAACGTATCTCTACATACATGATACATGAAATATCTGTTCTACAGTGAGTATAGACATACTTATCAAGTCATATGGCTCAAATTGTTAACGCTGACTATTACTTAAACGGGCGTATATAATTTCGGAAGGAAAATATTTCAAGACAATTTATACATACGCTATCGAACGGTGTTTCGCCATTTTCAACTCGCCATGAAAATAAAAATCGATCCGACCTAACATAAATTCATTATACAGTAGAATCTCGGAAGAGGTAATCGAAATGTCCCAGAGGTGATTAGCTTTTTCGAATTATCCACTTTTCCATAATTTTGGTCTTGAATCGACTTTTTTTTGAATCAATGAAAACGAAAAAGAGATGAAGAGATCTCTACTTACTACGCTTCTATACCATTCCGATTACGAAATGGAGTGGCTGTAGGTATAAATTTAAGCAATTTTCTTTTAATTTATTGGCAAAATTTAATAATTCATTTGGTTTGGCTTGAAATGCGAGTAGGAGAGCAAGGGAATGGATGAAAAATAAAGGGAGAAAACGGTTCAATTTAAAATGAGTCCATCGAACAATACAATTCGACGAAAAATGTATCCTTTTCAAGAAAGTTTAAGGTCAATCTAATTGAAACTCGTCGGTCAAAACTTACTTTAAAAACGTTTGATTTTGAATGTACACAAATGTTCGGTCCATACTAATTCTACTTAGCAAACGATTCTCTATGTATTGGATTGTGTTGAAGTATGCGGCTTTATTTTGTGTGTAGACATGGCAAGAATCCCGTTAAGAAGATGAGCCAATGGTGCGATAAGGCTGAGCTCTTCGCTTTATCAGTAATTTTCGTTCAATAAATTATCTTGAACTTCATAGCAGCACTTCTATTCATAATAATCGGCATTCTTACTCGACGCCTGTTCAAAGAACATCTCAAAGCTATTTGGATGTAATAAAAAAAAGAGTGAATTTAAAAATCTAAGGTGTTTTGAATCTCAATGGTCAAATTTAATAGATTCCTTGCAAAACTACGATAAATGTCAAAGAATGAAACAATTCGTATTTAATGCAATTGCCTCCCAGCATGTACATCAATCGAATACACAGCTGACTTCACTCAACAAGTGGCCGAATCGACTTCGAATAAAAATCATAAAGGGCGGACAGCAGTACAGTTTTTTTAAATCAAAGCAATGCAAGTGGGGGCAGTGACGCGAGTTGAAGTCTACACAATTATCGATTTCTTGGCCATTTGTGGCGGTTTGCTTGGACTATTCTTCTGCATATCGGTATTGAGCATGATTGAACTTATTTATTTCTCCACACTCTGCTTGTTCTGCACCTTTCGCCGTCCAACATCTGAACGTAAAATAAGTCCATTGTATCATAGACTGATTCAAGTTATTCCTGTTGACGAACACAACGAATAAAATGGCGTGAAAAGCTTCTTCTCATGACTTATGAAAGTAAAAATTGGAAAAACAACTTGATTTGAAACGTGTAGAATGTAATTTAGTAGTTTGATTAATGAAGACTCCGATATGACATTTTGAAGAGAAAATTTTTTATTGAGTCATCAACAAATTTGAATATTTTAAAGAAGCAAAAAATACTATATATGCATATTTTTCAAAGCATTTATTTCGATGTATTAAACTTAAACAGAATGGCAAACATATTGAAAATGTAAACAGATGACTTTTTTTTATTATGGAAAAAAACATTTGAATTTTTTACATTCAAATTCAATAAACCAAAAATTCGACATCAGTTTTATGAAAAGACAAGTTAAACGAAAGATTCACTGAAATAAATACATTTGAAAAATATTCCACACGTCAGTTTCTCTTGGAGCTTTCGAAATGGAATTGTGACTTTCGAACAATGGAATAGATGAATATCGAAATTCCAATTTAGACTGACGTAAATGTCTTTTTCTTATCGCCAGTGACTACAAGAAAAAATGTAAACAAATTTGACATTGAATCATCTGTCAACTATGGTGAAATATTAGACTGAATAATGAAATACTTTTATCAGTCAGCCGCAGTCGGTCGCTTAATAAACATTGTGACTCACAATTGGTGTTGTGTTAATTTTGAGAGATCTTACATAAGAAATGAGCAAAATTTCATTCGTTTATTTCCACAAATTAATTTAAACAAAGAAACGAAATCTCAGAATCAATCCAGAAAGTGTTCGTTTTTTCTTTGCATAGTCTAACTCAAATTAGAAATCGAAATGAGCGTAGGAAGTGCATCAGCTGACGTCATCCGAAATAATCAATCGCAAGCGGAAATTTTCAAGTTGAAGATCGATCATTTTGAAGAGTTATTCGACTGGTTGTCACTAAACGATCTAGTGGCACTTAGTAGAACGTGCAAACGAATGCAACGCATCGTCGGCTACTACATTAAAACGACCTATGCTGCAATTAAATTCAACTGTACAAGTGATGGTATCGAAAGAGGATATCAAGAATCCAAATTGACTGGATTGAGTTCATTTCTGAAAAAACTTATGTTTCATTACCTCGAGTATGTTCCATTTGATCATTGGAACCAACAATGGGGAAAACCAGAACAAATTATTCCTCATATGGTGGCCGATCAATTCAAATCGCTCACCGAAATCCTGTTAACCAGAGTTGTACTCACTGATGCAGGAATATCACGTATAAAAGGGATTTTGGGTCAACTGGAAATGGTGAGATTAAAGTTTCCGCATTTTCTGGATGAAAAAAACAAAGATATTTATGGTGATTTTCTAAAATACTGCACCAACGTAAAGGAGTTGTGCATTCAGGGATCGAGTAATAGATGTCTTGTTGGCGTTGACAATAGTTGGCTTCTGCGTGAATATCCAACACTCGAACACTTTGAGTTGATAATGAATCAAAACGGGCCCATCGACGAATTGAGTACATTTTTTGGACAAAACAACCACTTTAAACGTTTTGCGACGAATGTAGAAATGATTTTGGCGAACAGTGACACTTTTAAAACAACTCCAGCAAAATGGGATGTTTTAAGCGTTGAATTCTGTCATACAAACACATTTATTCCATCCCGAGATCTTTTGAATAAACTCTACGAACGAGGCAGGTTCAACGAAGTACATGTGTATTTTTTTACGCTCTTCAATACAACTTTTGATCAAGAATCAGTGAATGAGTTGACTTCATTCAAAGGTCTTACAAAGTTATACATTGATGGCATGGAAGATGGAACCGATTTATCTCGATTGATTACCCTGAAGCAGCTTTACATTAGCAGAGCTTCTAGTATTGCGAATACGATAACGCTGGCCACGAAGCTTTTCAATCTTGAATTCATTCATTTTACCTATGCAGATGTCAGTGACATTGTGCCATTCATTTGCCAGTCGCCCAAATTGACAAAGATTGTTGTGTTTCGCCTTAAGGAAAACGATGAACATATTCTCAACCTTGTACAACTGAACAAGGAACGATCGAAATTGCCAAATGCAAGAAAAGTTACCATTCATGTTGAGGAACATGTTTATTTGGACGTGAAATGGACCAAAAAACAAACGAACTTGAGCTTGATTGAGATAAAACGCGGCTCATCATATGATACATTGAACCATAGTTTCGATTACATGGACAATCCTGATAGAAAATTTTGAAGGAGAAAAAAATTGCCACTTAATTCCACGATATAAAACTTTGCTTAGCGTTAAAGAGATTTTGAAAAAAATTAAATATTCTCTTCATTTTAGAAAACAAAAAAAATTTCAATTATTTGTTTCAATTGCAATTACTTTGATATCATTTGAGGTGGAATTATTATGATTTGTTTATGATTGTAAAATTAAGCGTGCAAACATCAGATGAAATAAAATAAAATATTCAACTAAATTACAACAAATATGTGTTTTATTCTTATTGAATCGCTTTGGTTTTTCCAATAATCTCATCATTCAATTTCCATTCAAAATTTCCATATAATGTATCCATTTGATCCAACTTGCAAATCAATTGCACTTTGGTGTGTATTGTGACCCAAACTATCAAATTATGTGTCCTGTTATTGATATCAGACATTTGGTTTACTGCTTTTGAATCAGGGACCTTTTTACTGGAAGCAAAGTGGTGAAATAATCAAATTCAATTTTAATTCGAACAATTCAGAAGTTTGGTAAGACAAATGGTTGACACATTCAGTTTGCTCCGGGATCTTCTAAATGAACTGCACGATCGAGGGCTTTTCAAAGAATTACTCGTGTATTCCATCTTCTATTCAACTTTTGATCAAGAATTGGTCAATGAGTTGACTTTATTCAATGGCCTTACAAAGTTGTACGTTAAAGGCATGAAAGATGGAACCGATTTATCTCCATTGATTACGCACACACAAAAATTCACACTAATACACTGACAGCAACTATATAATATTTGACACTTTACGGATTCAGTACAACTAACACAGATACATTGTACGGAATCGGTATATCGTTTATCGCTTCATATCAAATTTTACCTGATTTAGATGTACCTAGGGGCATTTAACTCGAAAAAAATTCGTTTCATGCGAAGAATATGCGCTTCAACTCATAGTATGTGGCGATTTCTTCGTAATATGCGTATTATGCGGTGCCCATTCGTTAGAAGTGCACACATTCGATGTCCGAATACTGCACATAGACCATTCATACTGCGAATAATTTTGCATGAATCCTACTAAAATGTTTCCTTCTCTGATTGGTCATACGCCACAATATCGACTATTTTGAATTCAAAGTGCAACGACTTTTTTCATGTAAAAATTCAAGAAATACTTGACTGCAAGTGTTTGATTTGTACTTATTTCGGCTCACATTTTTTGCTGATCATTTTTGTTAACTTCAATCATTTGTACATATGGATTTTTTATTATTTATAATCCAGATGCTATTTCCAAGTATAATGAATCGTCGCACTTATTTTTTCAACGATTTTTATATCTACCAAAACTATCGGCGGTTTTACTTCAATATTTGTATAAGGAGTTTATACACCAAGTTTGAGCGAAATCGGAGAGGTCACTTGCAAATTTTGTCCCGCTTGGTGTGGAATCGTCGATAATATAACATTTTGATTTTCGTTTTCATTCTTATTCTTTGCTATTATATTTTAATTTTGTGTTATATTTAAATTCAATTTTCATCAATTAAGAACAATCTCATTAGCAAGAGATTTGATAAATATTAAAGACAGAAATTGTTGATGTCAAATATTGTTTGAACGAAACTTAACGATACAACAGAATGTTGACATTGTGTTGATGCGTCTTAAATCGCATCGTGGCGTCATTATGTGCACGCGTATTCGCTTCTATGCGTAATATTCGTGGCTATGTGAAAAATTCGACACACTTCACTGTGGCACACAATCTATGCGCGTTTATCCGTACAAATCACATATATGAAAAAGAGTAAAAAGCCCCTAGAGATGTACGAATGAACGAATGTGCCTAGGGGGAAGAACGACGCAAATTTCTTATTGAGATAAGGTGAGTTGCATCGTACAATGCACTGAATCATGATTTTGATCGCGTAGATGATCCACACTATACATTTTAAGCATTCTTTTGAGCAATTTATAAAGAAAAAAAATTGTTCAATATTATTATCATTCAAAATTGTAATAAATTATTTCATAGAATAAAAAAAAAACGTACGGTTTTGTGAACAAAATTAAATTAAGGTCACATTTGAACTTGTTATCGGAATAAAGAGCTCATTGAAAAAACAAAAATTAAATTGTTCTTAAGTCAATGTTCACAACATTGAAAATTACTGAAAAAGTAATTTTGCACGTGTTTTGGCGAACAATTTCTATCGCTATTTTTCAATTAAGAGGCCTTTAAAATCGAGTGAAAACGAAATATTGGGGCCTTGAAACGAAAACAATTCGCCCAATCGACAAATATTTCTCATATTTGCGAAGATGGATGTTGATTAAATTGAGATGAAATTCCACATATTTTGGCATATTTTCTGCCTAGGTGAACGAGTATATATTTCCCGATTGTTGCCTATTTTGTTTCATTTTATTTGTGACCTTATTTATAGTCACCACTTATAGTACACAATGAAAGTTGCTGGAATTATAATCATCGCCGTCGTTGTAAGTGTAAAAACAAATTTTCATCATTAAGTTAAAGAAAAATATTTTTTTCTGAAATTACCAGGCCATTGCACAGCCGAATTTGGGAGGCGCTGAAAAAAATGTAACAATTTTATGTCAAGCTTGTGATGTAATTACGGACCTGATGAATTCGGGAATGGACGTCGATTTGGCAAAACTGGAATTAACCATTGGTCATTTGCCAAGGGTTGGCAACGTCGGAAAACTTCTTTCAGCTATTTCAGAACAAATTGGATCACCAGTTAATTTAACGAAACTTCCATCTGGAGTATTGGCTATTGCCGTCAACGATTCTGCACGTGTGGC